TCTTTTCACCAACTCTGTCACTATCAGCAAGTTCAAACAAGAAAGGACTATATATGAAGAGCTTGCCTGATAATTGTAGCATGTTGTACCAGCATTTCTCAATTTTCAACTCAGTATAGTTTCAGGGATAGGAATACTTAGAAACTGTACACAAACCTGGGTGTTTGTATGCACAAAGCTGCAGTGTCCTGGGTACACACCTTTCATCAGACGCTCAAAGGAAATCCATGAGCCAAAAAGGTTAAAACATTAGGCCTTCGTTTTGCAAATGACACTAAGTCAAGATGAGATTCTCTAAATACATAATGCTCTCTCTACAGCTCTAGGATGCTTCCTTTGTAACCGTGAAAATATCCTGTACCACATAAATTTCATGTTCTAGTACCCAATCATCCAGAATAGTAAGACAACATCCATAACCCATACAGGAGGCACTGGATTGTACCATGTAAGGTTCTCTGGGGGAAAAAAACTTCCCAAGCTGTCATTAAAACATCTTTTTAGGCTCTGGAGTAAACAAAAATTGATAGACGGTGTCTAGAAAAAGTGATTAGGCATAGAGTAATAATACTGATGTGGAACTGAACAAGTCCAAATGTCTACCTATGAGGTAAAGAATCTACAGAAAGAATTTGGAGGCAGGAGAAACCCAGACCTACAGAACAAAGCAAATCATGCCAAAGACAGTCTGTGAATCCTAGACAGTTCTTCGATTCATTCCACAAGTATTTACAGAACAATTGTTTTGTGACAGACATCCTCTGTGCGTTTTAGTATTCCTAAGAACAAAATCAATAAGCCCACAACTCTCATTTTCCTCTTCCACACCCACCTTATCGATAATACTGTTAACAATGAGAGGATTTTTCAAAATATGTTGCCCAATCCCCGTGTTGAACATGAGTCCTGGAAGAAAACACGGAAGAGCCTTAATTTCCCGACGAAAGTAGACATTAGACCGTCCTAGAGAAGAATGCAGGGTGGTTGGGGGAAGGTGTCTGCGCCAACCAGAGGCACCAAACGTCATGCTAGGAGCCTAGGTGACACCCTGTTCAAGTCCACCCCTTCTGCAGGAAAGGAAGCCAGAGGCTGCGCAAGGCCTGCGGCCGTCGATCCAAGAGCGCCGCGCCACCGGCCTCACAGTCCCGGCCCAGATCAGGGCCCGCGCCCCCGACTATGTCCTGCCCGGTGATCGGACCTGAGCATAGCCCCTTCCCGGCTGTCCCCACCTCCGGCGCTCTTCAGCTCTCGGCTCTGTTTAAGTCGATCGCGGCGGCGGCCGCTCGTCCCCGGCTTGATCTTTGGCATCACCACTGGCGCGGACCTACAGGCCTTGGAGACCAGAGAGGACCAAAGCCGGCTACCCCGCACGACACGTGGGAACTTGCCACCCCAGGAGTGCTTGCACCACTCCCCGCCACGTGGGGGATGGGGGAGGGCCCGGCCCCTGTTCGCCCTGGGCCCCGCCCCCAGAAAGGGGAACGACCTTGAGCCCAGTGGTAGCCGGGAATTGTAGTCATGAGCAGGCGGAAATCCTAACCTCGAGAAACTACAGATCCCAGAAGACACCGCGCCGCAGATTCTGGCAGTTAGGATTGGCTAGTTTAGAATCGAAGCGGGTCTCTCGCCTAACTGCGCGGAGTTGCTCAAGTAAGTTTTGGGGTGGTGATCTCCCCGTTGTGGAGAAGGTTTAAATTACGCGAGGCCTTTAGGATTGTGGATGTTTCCCTCAAGCCAGGTCCTGGATCGCTGAAATCCAAAAAAGGTGTCTTTCCGTCATGCGCCTCCCTCCTGTTTCCCAGCAAATTCTGGGGTGGGAAACCTAAGATCTCGACATAAGGAGCTTGCTCTTGGGGCCAGCGAGTTCGCCTCTTGGGTTGTGGAGAGGAGCTCCGACAATGTTAACAAAGTTGCTTTGTTTCCTTTTTGTGCCATTCATTAATTACCTAAATGTTTATCGGGCTCCAACTATTAAACTCTACTGGGTGCTGCAGATTCAAAGTTTATACAGGAAACCGCTCTTCTCAGTCTATTCTATTGGGAGCGAGAGGCAGAAAGTCCGAAACGTTGTAAATGTAGTAAGTATGGATTGAGTATTGTTGTAGTACAGTGTATCTGACTGTAGGCTCCGTGCGTACAAGATCCACATCTGTTTGGCCACGTTTTTTATTTTTTTGTGTGTACTCTATTTTCTTGATGAAACGGTTTGAATTAACCAGCGCTGCCTCTTCCTTGCTAAATTAACACGTGTGCGTTCCCCAGCGTTGGCCTCTCTTTGCTGTTATTCTAATTCAGTAAAAAACTAATAACCTTAGTAGCATCTTCAACTACTTATGACATTTCACTAATGATTAATTTATTACACAATTCTGGAGAATCTACATTATTCCAGGTACTGTGTCAACTATTAGGAATAAAAAGCTACGTGATCTCTGCTTTTAGGGAACCTTCTGTCAAGAGAGGGAGACATGCAAGTTATTACAATAATAACACCATTTGGTGTTCAATTACATGCCAGATGTTTTGGGTACATTATTTCATTTAATCTTTTCAAACAAGTCTCTGAAATAGGTCTTATCATTATATCCATTTTACTGATGAGGACGCTGAAGGATAAAAATGTTTAATATCTTGGGGCACCTGGGTGGCCTGGCGATTAAGTGCCTGACTCTTGATTTCCGTAGGCTCAGGTCATGATCTCAGGGTTAATGGGATACAGCCCTGAATCCAGCTCTGCCCTGATAGTGCAGAGCCTGCTGCGGATTCTCTCTCTCTGCTCTTCTCCAACTTGTTCTAACAAGCTAAAAAAAAAAAAAAAAAAAAAAAAGCTTACCTTTAAAAAAATTAATACCTTGCTCAAGTTCACACAGTAAATGACAGATGCATCTGTATTCCAAAGATTGTGTATTTGTAAAAAAAAGGTATGATCATAGCACAGTGAGGAACATTTTCAAAATACAGTATTTGAGTGGAGTCTTGAAAGACAAAAATTAGCAAGGGGAAATTTGGGAATTCAGAGGAAACCGTACTCACAAAGCGAAGATATAAACGAGTTTAAGGGAGAAAAAGAAACGTGGTATAGCTGAGGAATTAATAGGAAACGTAAATAGGGGCTTACTGCAAATGGCCGAAAATGTTATGCCAAGGAGTATTGGTAGAATCAAAGTAACCATTTTGCATTTTCTCCTCCTCTCCAGGCTGTGAGTATTGTGGGACATCACACAGTAGCGTAGGTAGGAGATATTCATGGGCTCCACTTTTAGCTGGGTTTTGAACCCTGCCCAGCCAGTGCTTTTGAATTTCCTCTAATCCTCTCCCATTCTCCATAGAAGATCTTCAAACCTGAATTCTTCTCAGGCCCGCTTGCCTACCACCTCCCCAGTTCCCTTTCAGCAGAAGGCCCTGCCTTTTACTTCACAAAAGAAATGCAAGATCGCCTCAAGGACATGCTCATTTTCCTGGGTTACTGTTCTGCACTCTGGGGATACAGCCGTGAGCAAAACAAAGCAGAGCTTACCCTCTAGTGGGGGGAAAACAGACATTCTGAAGGTGGTGATGAACATGCGGGGGGAAAAAGCAAGGCAGAGGAGCTAGATAAAGATCAACAGGGTGGGTGGGAGAGGTTATTTTATATAGCATGGTGGGGCGAGACTCCCATGATGGGGATAATTTGATCAGAGACCTTCGGGCACAAATCTAAAAGTGACTCACAGTACATCTCACACTCTGGCCATTTCTGCTACAACTAACTGCAGGACAGTGAGTGAGGAAAGCTTGAAGGTGGGAGATACTGTGAAGGTAACTACAATGGTATGCTAGAAAGAAAGAGGGGTGCAGGTTTTGCTAGGAGAATTCATATGGATAGGCCAGGGAGAGCTTGAAATTTTGCAGTGGGGAGATAGCTCTACCAGTTGGAAAAAAAAAAAAGTGGCTTAGCATTAAACTCATGGGTGAGTCTGTGTCCTAGACGGAATCCCTCTTTTCATAGTTTAGGATTCTGCAAAAAGGAAGTCCCGTTTGCTTTTGCTAAAGAGTAAATAGGGTAGACCGTAAGGATGGAAAACCAAATGATAGCCAAATGCTATTTTTTTAGGCGTAAAATAGCAAGACCCTCCTAGAAGAGGCTACATCTTTTAAGCCACAGAAAACAAAGGGACGGAGGTGACTGTGCACAGTTCCCTTGCCTAGAGTCTAAATTAGTGTTTGTCTAAACATGAATCTTCGACCACCTGCATCAGAAACACTAGGGCACATGTTATGGGCTGAATTGTATCCTCCCAAAATTCACATGTTAAAGCCCTAATCTCTCGTACCTCAGAATGTATCTATATTTGGAGATAGGACCCTCAAAGAGATGATCAAGCAGGAATGAGATCACTAAGTTGGGCCCTAATCCAACGACTGGTATCCTTTTAAAAGGAGGACGTTTGTATACACAGATACCAGGGTCATGTGTGCCCAGAGAAAAGACCTTATGGGCACACGGAGAAGGTGGCTATCTATAAGCCAAGGAGAGAGGCCTTAGGAGAAACGAACCGTGCTGACACCTTGATCTTGGATTTCTGGCTTCCAGAACTGTGAAAAATACATTTTTGTTTTTGCAGGGAGGGAGAGAGTGCAAGGGAGGAGGAGGAGAGAGGGGGACAGAGGATCTGAAGAAGTGGGTTCCACACTGATAGGCTGATGGTATCGCCCGATGTGGAGCTTGAACTCACACCACAAGATCATGACCTGAGTTGAAGTCAGACCCTCATCCGACTGAGCCACCCAGGTGCCCCTATATTTCTATTCTTTAAGCCCCCCAACTTTTCTAGTGGTATTTTCTTTAACATTTTTTTTTAATGTTTATTTTTGAGACAGAGAGAGACAGAGCATGAATGGGGGAGGGGCAGAGAGAGAGAGGGAGACACAGAATCCGAAGCAGGCTCTAGGCTCTGAGCCAACAGCCCAGAGCCCGACGCGGGGCTCGAACTCACGGACTGTGAGATTGTGACCTGAGCTGAAGTCGGATGCTCAACCGACTGAGCCACCCAGGCGCCCCTCTAGTGGTATTTTCTATGGCAGCCCAAGCAAACTAATATAGCACATAATGAAAATTTACATTTCCAAGCCCCACCTTGAACATTCTGGATCAGAATAGGATTGGGCCCTGGCAAATGCATTTTTAACAAACCCTCCAGGAAAGTCTGATGTACACCAAAGGTAAGGATTTATTGCTTTCTGCAATAAAATAAAGTATGTTGAGGAATTTCTACAGAAATGAAAGAGAATGGGGAGGGCTACCATCATAAGCACAGGGGTCCCCTTATTACATAATTACATAAATAAAATGGCCATATGACATCATCTTTTTTTTTTCTGTTAGTTTCAAGATGGCATTCAGAAGTGAGACAAAATGGGATGCACCATGGATCCATGAATCCTAGAAAGTTGTGTGACACTGGGTTATGAGCTGCATTAAAGAAATGAGAATTGGAAATTGATGCTGGAATGTATTTGAGTTATCTTTGCAGCCACGAATGGCTTTGAATTATATAATCTTATGCTTTTCTGGTTCATGTTTATCTCCATTGTTAATTAAAAATATTTATTTTTCAATTTGGAATTGTACAATGGATTCATTGCCATTTTTATTTTATTTTATTTTGGTTTTGATATAATGTGTCATAACTGGAAAAAGAATTATAATCGAGGCGCCTGGGTGGCTCAATTAGTTGAGCGTCCAACCTCATCTCAGGTCATGATCTCGTGGTTTGTGAGTTCGAGCCCCACATCCGGCTCTGTGCTGACAGCTCAGCACAGATTCTTTGTCTCCCTCTCTCTCTGCCCCTCCCCTGCTTGTGCTGTGTCTCTCTCTGTCTCTCAAAAATAAATTTAAAAATGTTGAAAAAGAATTATAATCACAGTTGCTTTGGTAGAAGAGGCTTACTTAAATTTACCAGCATGCATGAAATGATAACATTTTAAATGTGCCAGGGAATACAATAAGGAATAACAATAAAATGTAAGCATTTCCCTGTGTAAAATATATTTCCTTATAGACTTTTAATGTATTGAAAAGTCATAAGAGCACCTGGGTGGCTCAGTCAGTTAAGCGGACTACTTTGATTCAGGTCTTGATCTCGCAGTTCTTGAGTTTCAGACCCACTTTGGGCTCTGTGCAGACAGTTTGGAGCCTGGAGATTCTATCTCTTTCTTTCTGTGCTCCTCCCTCACTTGCAATCTGTCTTTCTCAAAAATAATATACATTAAAAAAAAAGTAAAAAAAAGAGAAAAGTGAAAACATTAAGAATGTTTGAATTTCACACTTTTAACACATTCATTAACATCTACTGTGTAATGAAAAAGGAGTATAATTCACTTGGACAGAAAACAAATGGAAATCTAATAATATCAATTGTTCAATTTGATTAGAACAATGAACGTTATTATTATTGTGCCAATATTCAAATCTCAATGGTAAATAAAATACTACTTTACAAAGCTGGACAATTTCAAAAAAGTACCTAGTGTCTTAATTTCTACTAGGCTGTTTAAATCTTAACAGAAAAGTATAATGAAATTTGGCTGAAAGAAGTTAATATACCTTGAATATTATGGGCAAGATTCTTCTATAAACATACTCTTAACTTTTTTTCAGATCATTATAAATACTATCTTAAATTAAGGAAAGTAATTAAGAAACACAATTATGGTCTCTGTTTATTATCAGCAGGAGTCTAAACATTGTCACTGAATATCTAATATCTAATAATTGTTTCTCCCCAAAGTGTCTGTCAGATAAATTTTTTCTTATCATCCCCTTAAAATAGTATGTATCGTGTTACAAAATGAAATTTTTTGAAGTTTTACAAACAAAAATAAATTATTATCGTACTAAGAATTCTACTTGTGAATTCTAATAGAGCCTGTTATATATTTTATTTTAAGATCTACAGTTATATTTTTATATTCTGTTTTATGGATTTTGAAGTGCTTTTCACACAATTTAATTTTCAGTGAAACCCTGTGAAGTTTGTTAGGGCAAGCATGATTACCCTATTTTACATAGGAAGAAACTGAGTCTCACTAAGATTAAAGGTACTTGCTTGGGGTCCTTCAGGTAGTAAGCAGCAGAGGAGGAAGTGGAAGCCTGTGCCCATCCCACAACAGGACACCTGCCTGCATCTGTGAGCTCCGTCGGTCTGTAGTTTCAGCTGAATGTGAACATTCGAGTCAATTGCTCTCATCACTTGTGGGAAAGCAGGGAAGTAAAGCATACTGAGTCATTCTAAATCCAATTTTCCTTTTTAAAAAAATTTTTTTAAAATGTTTATTCATTTTTGAGAGAGCACAAACAGGAGAGATGCATAGAGATAGGTAGACAAAGAATCCAAAGCCGGATCCAGGCTCTGAGCTGTCAGCACAGAGCCTGACACAGGGCTTGAACTCAGGAACCATGAGATCACCTGAGCCAAAGTCAGACACTTAACTGACTGAGCCACCCAGGTGCCCGAATACAATTTTACTTTTTAATAACAATCTAATATACTTTTACATTTTTATAATTTTGTACTTTTATAATTTTACTTCAACAATCAATCAATTTTACTTTTTAATAACAATTTGATCTAAGATTCATGATAAACAAAATACATTGTAAACAACATAACAAAATATGTTGTAAACAAGGTAACAAAACCAAAAATTTAACTTGGATAAATCTTGGAAAATACAGAAACTAGGAAGAAGATGAAAAATTTACCTATAATCTCTCCATGCTAGGATAAACTCCGAACATTTTGACATTCCCTGCTTTCTTCTGTTGTTTTAGCAACACGTAACATAATTGAAGTCATACAGTTTACTGTTATTTTTTGATAAAATACAGTAACATGAAAAGCACTTTCCCAGGTTGTACAGTATTGATCACCAGTATCCAAAGCTGCTGAGGAAGATTTCCTCTTGTGAATGTGTAAGAGTTTACTAAATCATTCTCATACCATTGTTGTAAAAGAAGAGTCATGCACACTTTAGTGCATATGTGAAAAATATTTTCTGTCTTTTGATAATTTCCCTATTACAGATTTCCACGAATGGAATTATTTTGTCAAACTGTATGGACATTTAAATCTCTGGGTCTATATTAACAAATTACTTTCTTCTTATTATTATTTATTTGAGATAGAGTGGGTGTGAGCAGGAGAGAGGGACAGAGGAAGAGAGAGAATCTTAACCAGGCTCCATGCTCTGCACGGAGCCCAATGCGGGGTTCGATCCCACAACCCTGGAATATGACCTGAGCCAAAATCAAGAGTCAGACAGTCTTGGGGTGCCTGGGTGGCTCAGTTAGTTGAGCACCTGCCTCTTGATTTTGGTTCAGGCCATGATCTCATGGTTTGTGAGTTCAAGCCTCGCATCAGGCTCTGAGCTGACAGCATGGAGCCTGCTTGCGATTCTCTCTCCCTCTCCTCTCCCCACCCCCACATATGTGCTCGCTCTCTCTCAATAAAGAAATTAAAAAATAAATAAATAAATAAACGTTAAAAAAAAGAATTAGACGCTCAACTGAGTCACTTAAGGGCCCCAACAAATTATTTTCTAAAACAATTGAATCAATTTTTGTTCTTACCAGTAGGAAAAAAATGCCCATTTCACTGTAAAAAGAACTATAGGTAGAAGATGTTCTTACATTTCCTTTTCCAAACTAGAAATTTATTAATTATTTTTCTTTTTAAAATTTTATTTAGATCCAAGTTAGTTAATATATAGTGTAATAATCGTTTCAGGAGTAGAATTTAGTGATTCATGACTTACCTGTAACACCCAAAGCTCATCCCAACAAGTGACTTTAACGCCCATCACCCATTTATCCCATCCCCCCCAACACCACTCCAGCAACCTCAGTTTGTTCTCTATAGTTAAGAATCTCTTATGGTTTGCCTCCATCTCTGTCTTTATCTTATTTTATTTTTCCTTCCCTTCTCCTGGATGTTCATCTGTTCTGTTTCTTAAATTCCACATGTGAGTGAAATCATATGATATTTGTGACTTATATCACTTAGCATAATACATTCTAGTTCCATCCACATTGTTGCAAATGGCAAGATTTCATTTTTTGATCGTCAAATAATATATATATATACACATATTTATATATATTCTGTGTCTCCCTCTCTGCCCCTTCCCCACTCTTACTATCTCTGTCTTTCTCAAAATAAAAAATAAACTTAAAAAAATTAAGAAAAAGACATTTATATTGTTTCAAGTTTTTAAAAACTCATAAAACTGAATCTGCTATAAATATTAATATTATTACCAAGGGCAGATCAATTAGTTTCCCCAAGACTTATTTTCCTAACCTGGTTAGCATTGATGAGTTTTTTGATAAGCATGTCATGAGAGCTATCTTATAATAACAGAGTTGCCCAAGACCTAATTTTACACAAGTTGCATTATTAGCTCAAATGTAGCACACTGGAAAGCCTATGACTTGGAACATGTGTTAGTTTTCTTTTTTCTTTTAAATTTTTATTTATTTATTTTTTAATGTTTATTTATTTTTGAGAGAGAGAGAGACCATGAGCAGGGAAGAGGCAGAGAGAGAGGGAGACAGAATCTGAAGCAGGCTCCAGGCTCCGAGCTGTCAACACAGAGCCTGATATGGGACTGGAACTCACAAACCGTGAGATCATGTCCTGGGCTGAAGTAGGCCGATTAACCGACTGAGCCACTCAGGCGCCTCTTTTTTTTTTTTTTTTTAATTTTTAACGTTTATTTATTTTTGAATTTTTTTTTTTTAAGGTTTATTTGAGAGACAGAGACAGAGTATGAGCAGGTGAGGGGCAGAGAGAGAGGGAGACCCAGAATCCGAAGCAGGCTCCAGGCTTCAAGCTGTCAGCACAGACCCTGACATGGGGCTCACACCCACGAACTGTGAGATCGTGACCTGAGCCGAAGGTGGACACTTAACCAACTGAGCCACCCAGCTGCCCCATTTTTAAAAATTTTTAATGTTTTTTATTTCTGAGAGACAGAGACAAAGTGTGAGCGGGGGAGGGGCAGAGAGTGAGGGAGACACAGAATCTGAAGCAGGTTCCAGGCTCTGAGCAGTCAGTGCAGGGCCCAATGTGGGGCTCCAGCTCAGGAGCCTAGCTGTGAGATCACGACCTGAGCCAAAAGTCAGGGGCTTAACTACTTAACTGACTGAGACACCCAGGCGCCCTCATGTGGTAGTTTTCTATTGCTGCTGTAAAAAATTGCCACAAACTAGTTTAAAACAACACAAATTCATTATGTTAGAATTCTGAAGGTCAGAAGTCTGAAATCCTCTGCAGGACTGTTTCTTCCACAGGCTGCAAGGGAGAATCTGTTTCTTTGACTTTTCCAGCTTCTCTAGACTGCCTGTATTCCTTTACTCATGGCTTCATATCACTCCCAACTCTGCTTCCATGGTCACATCTCTCCCTGACACTCCTCCCTCCCTCTTATAAAGCACCATTATGACTACATTAGGCCCACAGGATAATGCAAAATAATCTTTCCATCTCAAGATTCTTAATTTAGCCATATCTGCAAAGTACCTTTTGCCATGAAAACTAATATATGCACAAGTTTTGGGTTATTAGGATTTGGATATCCTTTTATCCTACCAACTATAACGCATACATCTAAATTTGATTCTGGGTTCCTCCAGAATTTGAACCTAGACAAATGACAAATTCCCATCATCTAATCTGTAAAATAAGGAAAAGAATACTCTCCATATAGGGTAGGATGAAAATCAATAAAATAAATTATGTGAAATGTCTACAGTTCAATGTCAAACACTTAAAAGACACTTAGAACTGGCTCATAGGAAATATTTGGTAGTAGTTAGTTATAATTATTGATGTAAAATGAGTTGCATTGTTGTTACACTTATTTGCATCTTGGAAACTACTTGAGATTGAGAGGTGAGTAAGCCAGTGTTTCTTTAATTTAGCATTTGCTTCCTCAACTTTCTTTTTTCTCTTCAGTTCTCAGGTATTTAGGGGGGAAAACACTGAATTTATATTTATGTTTCAAATATATTCTGAACAGACCCAATGATGATTTAATTATTTGTTTGCCCTTTCCTCTAAAGAATCTGAGAATATAAGGACATAGCAATGAAATGCAGTAATATGAGGTTATTTATCTAGGTGTACATATTTCTCTTGTACATAATATATGAGTAGGTTTTACATTCATAACAGTTGAAGCTAGGACTTCCCAAGTGCATTTTATTGGGAGTCTGGGAGTTGTAGGCAAAATTTGTATGTGTGCATTTTTCTAAGTTATACCTTTTATTAAATTTCCAAAGGATCCATTATCCCATTTCATATATATATATGTATAATTTTTAAAAAATTTTAAAAATGTTTATTTTTGAGAGAAGGCGTGATTAGGGGAAGGGCTGGTGGGGTGGAGGGGGGGGGAGGGGGCTCTATGGTGACAGCAGACATCCCAATGCAGGACTCGAACTCACAAACTTCAAGATGATGACCTGAAGTCAAATGGTTATCTGACCGAGCTGTCCAGGCTCCCCAGAAAAGATCTATTCTTCTAAAGCAATTTCTTCATTTTAATTCAAATTAGGTTTCATATGTATATTTATACACATACACACACATATTTATTGCATATTCCTAATAAACTTGTTACTCATTGTGTGATCTTTGGACCAGTAGCATTGGCATTATCTGAAAACTCATTAGAAATGAAGACTCACCTCAAACCAACTGAATCAGGATCTGTATTTTAACAAGATCCATGTGATTCTATGCACATTTAAAACTTGACAAGTATTACCTTAAGTAAAATCAGCAGATACAATCAAGCAAAACAAATAAATGAAACGTCCACATTACCATTCAACTAGTGACAAACCTTGTTAACATTTTGGCATGTATTTATTTAATTTTTGGCCCCATATAAAAATGGGGCTATACTTAACCTAATTTTTTGTAACCCACTCTTTTCCCAATGCATTGTGAATGTGTTAGCATGCAACAAAAACATGGCAACATAATTTATATTGGCCAATTTGTAATTTATTATATATGCATGTATCATGATTAGGCATTCCTTTCTTGGTGGTTATTTAGATAATACTGTATTTTTACTTTAAAAACAACCCTAATGTGAACATCCTTGTAATGTAGGTCTTATGATTGATTCAAATCCTAACAGTGTCCCTTACTAGCTGTGTGACTTTAGGCAGATTACCTGACTTCTCTGTGCTTCAGTTTCTTCACCTGTAACAGTAGCATAATAGCACCTCACAGATTGTTTTGAGGATTAAAATACATGATCATGTTGAGATTTTTAGAATTGTACCTGGCATATTCTAAATGTTCAGTAAATGTTTATTATTATTTTTTATTATTAATGTTTATGAACCCTCAACCATGTCTTTACAACTTCTCTTTCTAAGGAAACCTTAGAGGGGGCGGCTAGGTGGCTCAAGTCTGTTGAGCCTTAGACTCTTGATTTTGGCTCACGGTCCCTGAGTTGGGAGTCTGGGATCCGGCTCTGTGCTCAACAGTGCGGAGCCTACTTGGGATTCTGTCTTCCTCTCTCTGCTCCTCCCCCACTCTCTCTCTCTCTCTTTCTCTTAAAAAATAAATAAAAATGAAAACTTTAAAAAAAAGTAAAGAAAACTTAGGTCACTAGCTAGTAGCAGAGGCAGGCAGAACTATACTTCCACTCCTGCTATCGTTCTGGAGTAGAGCGCCCAGCAAATTTAGGACTTGAAAAAAAATATTCACGGGAGGTTTTACCAATGCGAGTAAGATTATTTTAATAACTCATTTACGCTGAGACGGACTCGGAAAACAATGCAGTTTAGAACCGATATCCGGAACGGGGAAGGGAAAATGGTTTCTATTCAAGCAGGCTTCGATCAAACCAGGAGACAACGATTTGTCCCGGGAATTGGGCTACGCGGGGTTAACGTTTCCATGGTTACAAATCCGGCTGACTCCAGGCTCCACGCTCTGTAATGCGCAAGCGCAGATAGCTGCTTTAGCCGCCCGGCGCCTTCAGTTTCGAAGGGGAAGCACCTCCCTCCTCTTGTGCAGTTCTCCTATCGCCTTCTCACTTTGCCAATTCCACGCGTTCCGGTTGTCTGTGACGCAGTATTCCCGCGTCCGCGTCGTTTGGAGCCGCGACGCTGAACATGGCGCGTTCCTAGAAGCCGCTTTCGGCATCAGTAGGCGGCGGCGTGTGGACTGGAAGCGTGAGGCGCGGGACCAACCGACTTCGCTTCGTGTTGGGGACTGGAAGCGGGAGAGCCGGGGTATTCCGGACCGAACCAAACGGTGAGGCCTGAGAGCTACAGAGCGCGCGAGTGGAAGGGAGGAGTGGGCTGAGCAGCGGAGACGGGAGAGGCGAGGGAAGAACGTTGGGCTAGTCGGAGAGGAGAGAGAGCAGAAACGCGGCGAGAGCGGCCTGCAGGCTTGGCTCTCTGCGTAACCCTAGGAACTACTTGGAGCTGGGGCCTGGCCGAGTCAGCCCTGGGAGGGGGAGGCTTGGTCGAGGAGGAATGGGGGTGCAGGAAGACGGGCTCGGTGCCAAGATGAGGAGAGCATAGGGTACCCATTGTGGCTGCGGTTGCGGGCCAGGGTGGTGTATTTGCCCTTGGGGCATAGGTGATGCCCATTTTGAGAGAACGTGGTCAGTTTTAGTAGAAAGCCACTGTATATTGTTATTGCACACAGTACATTGCTGCTAATAGCAATGCTGTGAACGCTCTAATTAAACATTAGACCCTTCCTTGCCTTTAATGAACAGGTGCAGGAAGTTAACACATTTTCCGAGGAGCCGCTTGCTGAGGTATGGCCGCCAATGCTCAAGCTCAGCGACTTCTGCAGCTTTATATTGAGGGTATTTGTGATTCAGCAAAACTATTTTGAGGCCCATTGCATTTGTCATTCTTTTTTATTCTGTTGTTACATAGTGGTGAATGAGGGAAGTATTATTAGTTGCAAGTGATTTGAGTAAATTAGGTAGGAGTGGTAAATTGCCTGCAGGTGCCAAGATTGCGATAGACATACCTTCTCCCCACCCCAGTGTAAGCGAGCTCGTTTGTAGTGCTATAGTGCTTTTGAGAATTGGTTATTCTTCAGTATAGGGTAAGAAAGAGCAGTTTACAGCCCTAATTATTTCTTTCTTTTTTTCTTTCTTTCTTTTTTTCTTTTTTTTTTTTTGGTGTGTGTGTTGGTTAGAGAGTTCATGCCTCCGTTTTAACGTTATTTTAAACTTCTCCTTTCAGTATAGAGGCTTCAGGTTAAGGGTAGAGCGACTGTAAGGCTTCCATTGCATGACACCTTTTCTTCTATCTTGCATCACTGAAGATTGCTGTGAAATTAGAATGAAAATCCTTGTTGGTTGTGATACGATTGTGGAATTTTTTCCCTCCTATAACCTAGTACAGGGAATAGTAGAAACAGTTTAATTAGACCATAAATATATGGTTTGTGGCCGTATATTATAGCCCTAGGTCAGCTGGGCTGTCTCTGTCCTAGATACGCTTCCTAAAGCAAAAGAAAATCCTCATTACAGATGAATTTAGTTGTGGTAATAGGATTGGAGGTTCTAAACAAATGCATGAAGATTATTTGGTAATTAGTATAAAAATCTTTAAATTTTATGACATTGAATGTTAGCATTCAGAATCCAGAATGCAAAAGAACCCTTGTAGGCATGTGGCAGTTAGAATATACAGACTTGTCTAGAGCAAAATGTTTTTCTAGAAATAAAAATATTCATGTTTTGAGAAAGATAACATGGTTAGATGGATTTTAACCATTGTGTTGTGTGTATGTGCATATATGTGTGCATGGTGTGTATTTATATTGTTCTTGTTGAAGTATCGTTGACATACAGTGTTACATTAGTTCATGTGGTGTTCTGATCAGTTCATGCTGATTCAACAGTTCTATACCTTATGCTGTGCTCCTCCATGATAAGTGTCGTTACTGTCACTATACAGTGTTGTTACAGTATTATTGATTATATTTCCTGCACTGTACTTTTCATCTCTGTGACTTACTTTTATAACTGGGAATTTGTACCTCTTAATCCCCTTCCCCATTTTCTGTGTATTGGTATTTAATCTTGCTTCTCCTAATACGGTGTTACTGATTCCAGTATTATTCATTTCTATGCTAATCCTATCTGTACCAAATGATGACTATCATCAAGTTAATTTCAGAGTGTTGTAGGGAATGGCAAGATATACTTAGTGCAGGTGTGAGTCTGGAACATCTTTGTTTTTGTTTTGTAAATATCAGGCTGATTACAGATAAGCCCACAATTATAAGCTTTGTAGAGCTTGAGTTGGATCAGTGTTCTGCACCGTTCCTACTCTGAGTATGATGTATGGCATCACGTCAGTGTTTGCTCAGAATGCCCAAGCTTAAGCTTAACCCTAAACCTAATGAATCAGAACCTGGATCTTAACAAGCTTTCCAGATGATAGGAATTTATGTTAAAACTTGAGACACCCCACTTTGGTTGGGAAGAGTTGGAAGACTGAGATCATGGGTAAAGCTATGTAAAATTAGAGCATTTATTTTGATCTGAGGTAATCCTTTGCTGCTTATCGAGTCTGATTCATCTGGTTGAAGAAACAGACATGGCAGAGGTAAGTAACTTGCCTGATGTTCATAACCCGGGTTCAGACTTACTCGAACGCTTTTCTTTTGCTATTTATTGCCATTTTAAAATGGAACTAAAGCTTTCATGAATGAGAGCTAGGAATCCATTCCACAACAAACATTTACTGAGTGATAGGCAAGCAGTCCAATAATTCTGTGTTTCTCTAGAAACTGCTGTTTCCTATGGTGGTTATGAACCCACCACATTCCCTCCTTATTCTTTTCTGGATAATGTCACTTCTGCATGACAGAGGGGGGCGCCTGGGTGGCGCATTCGGTTACACATCTGATTTTGGCTCAGGTCATGATCTCGTGGTCTGTGAGTTGAAGCCCCACGTCGGGCTCTGTGCTGACAGCTCGGAGTCTGGAGCCTGCTTGACTCCCTCTCTCTCTGCCCCTGCCCTGCTCACACTCTGTCTCTCAAAAAGTGAATAAACACTAAAAAACATTTACATGACAGAGGAAATGAAATACATTGGTGGCATTGGTTACTGTTTTTTGTCCTCTTGCACTTGCAAACATGCCTACTTCTATCTGGTCATCTCTCCTGTGCTCTGAGTTTTTTCTCCTCAGGGACAGTGTTTCCTTGGTGTCTTATGTTGTTTTTCCAGGGCTGCTGTAACAATACCACAGGCTGGGTGGCTTAAACAATGGAAAATTATTTTCTCATAGTTCTCGAAGCTGAAAGGCCAAGGTCAGGGTTCCAGCAGGAGTGATTTACTCTGAGGCTCTCTCCTTGACTTAGAGGTAACCACCTGCTTTGTGCACTAGAATCTCTGGTATCTCTTTCTTATTAGCACACCACTTGCATTAGATTAGGACTCCACTCTAATGACCTCATTTTAACATAATCACTTTTTCAAAAATCTTATCTCCAATTCTGAGGGTCCTGGGAGTGAGGGCTCCAACATGTGAATTTTGGGGGAATGCATTCAGTCCATAACATTTGGTTGGTCCTGTTTTACTTTGAATGGGCACTAACTTATTAGGATTAAAAAAAAATTCCTTTAAATACACTCTCACTCTAGATTCCTCTTCAGTTTCATCTGTAATTATTTCCTTTAAGTTTCTGGAAAAGTTACCTATATTAATTTTCTCCACCTCCTTATTATTCGCTCCCCCTCCCTCCCCAGTATATTGAAGTCTAGCAGTCCAAGTCCCTGAATTTGGCCACCATTGATCTCTTTGTGGTGAAATCTAATGGAATCCGTGTCATCATTTGACATGTTGACATTTCTCTTTGAAATTCTCTTATGCTTCTGTGACACTGTGGTCTCCTTATTTCCATGTATGTTGGCCAGTCTTTCCTTGGTGCAGTTTTCTGTCTTTGACCAATTCAAATTTTCCTATCACAGTGACGCACAGTCTTCTGCTCTCTTCTGCCTCTACCTGCTCTTAAATGGTCTTATCTCTGATGACTTCAACTATTGACTTTATTTTGATAACTAGCAGATCTCTGTCTCTTTAGCACAGATTACCCTCCAACTGTGACACATTATGTGGTTGTCTTAAGATACATAAAGTTCAGGTCAAAAATTAGATATATCACTCTTTCCGAAGTTGCTTCTCTTCCTCCTATGATCCATGCCTGCCAGTCAGTTGGAGATGCCCCAAGTCTTAACTCTACCCTCTGATTACCCTTATGTACCATCCTGCCCCCAATCGTTTACCAAATCTTCTACGTCTTTCATCTATTTTCCCTTGCCAGATACTACCTTGGTTCGGATTATCATTAGTATGTGGACTTTGGTGTAAGCATTGTAAATAATTTCTTTGAATCTGAGAATGGATATAATCCCTCTAAACCCTTTCTTGTTTTGTAGACAGATTGTAGTGTTCTTCTGCCATGCAGGCTTTCAGATTAAAATCCATATTACCAAATTTAGGAAATAAGGACCTTAATGATTTGGACTTTGCTTGCTTTTTGCTTTCATCTTCTGTTTCCTGCCTCACATGGTTCTGTCATGCTGAACTATTTGCAATTCTTCAAAAGTGTTTGAATGTTTTTTAAAGTTGAGACGTCAGTATGTTGTGTGTATTCTGCCTAGAATATACCTATCACCTTTTTGACAACACATACAACCTACTCATTTGGATAACTCCTACTCAGCTTTCATGACCCAGCACAAATGCTATCTTGTCCCCCTTTCCTGCCTCACCAAGCTTTCCCCAACCTGTTTAGGCTGAGTTAGGTCTTTCTCTTAGATGTTTCCAAAACAGCTTTGTTGTCTTTTTTTCTCTTAAGACTGGAAAGCAAAGACTCTCTTGTTTGTTTGTTCGTTTGTTTGTGGAGTAATCTAAGTTATTAAGTTATACCCTGCCATAACCAAAGGGATGGAAGATCAGTATACTGGTCATCATTTGAGGCAAGTAAGGAAGGTGCACTTAATGTCCCGTATACTTCTGGTCCATGTGCAGAGTCATGGTCCAAACCGCTGCTGTGGTCCCTGCTGGGTAGTGGTCCAGGTTCTCTTTATTCATCCTCATAGCCAGTTGGGAGTGGATTCACATGAGGGTTAAAGGATAGAGTAATCATACTCCCCTGGAGTAGGACTTGGAAAAGAACTCCCCCTGGAAAAGGACTTAGACTTGATGCGGAGTTGTGGGTAGGCGATGAACTCGGATCTCTCGAGCTCTCCGTGATCAACTTTAGGAAGATG